AGCAAATGTTTTGAGAATGATGATGGCAACAAATGTACAAATGTGCTTGACACAATGGATGTATGTAAGGATTGTGATAAGAATTGTATGAGCCCCCAGTAAAATGATTAAAAAAACACCCCTAAATAAGTGTACTTCATGTCTCACCCATCTGCATGCCAAACCCTGTGTTGCATACACTTTCAGTTCGAATTCGAGCACTGAACCACGGTACCACCAGGCTGCCAGAATCCATTTGAAGTGCCCCAAGTTAAACCCCAAACTGCATACAGATGGAAAATCCTTGTCCCATTGACAACTAATGACTCATTTCTATTGTCATTGAGGCAATTCTGACTCCTAGTGACTCTCTAGGACACAAACCAACCCCCCCATTGGGTTTCTGAGACTATGAATCTTTACAAAATGATATGGCTGCATCCCTCTCCTGGGTCCCAATGCCAGCATGTGGGTTGCAGCCTGTCACATACCACTGTGCCAACAGGACTCCCTACTGACCTTCAGGGTTGGTTCATAAACCAAATGGGCACTCCAAAATCAAAGTCAAAGTCAAAGTCAGACCTATGATGTAAGTCTCATAATAATGGAACATTGGTCATTTGACAACATACCTTTCATAAAGGGAGCCAGAGCCACCTTGTCCATTATCCTCCGTGTCAGGTTAGTGACTGGTGTATATGCCACCACTAATTCCGAGTCATTAAATTCACCCATAGGACCCAGGACATGAGCAGGATGTTCAGGAAATTGGGTGGCTGTGAAGCTTTCCGGGCTGAAGCACAGATACAGGCTCATAAACAAGGCCAGTGTCCATTCCTTCAGCACAAAAGAGAAAAAGGGGACCAAGTCATGATGCGTCCAGACAGTGGACCACACCACACATACCGCATGGCTTCATTTCACTCTCATGAAAGTTTGCTTCCTCATCACCCTTTGACTTTTAAGGAAGAGGACACCCATCTCAAAAACCTGCCATATTGTGATGCTATCTAAGAGTTGAGTTGATTTCAACCCTATGATCAAATTTAACACCCTGCTTACTAGGATGTCCACCCATTCTGTCCCTCTACATGTGGTTCACAGCCCCTTCTTTGAGATCCTCTTTATTTTCCTTTCTTTTGATACAAATTTTCTTCATTCAACAATTTATGCACATGCTGATTAGTGACACTGACAGCCACCCCCACAATACAATGACATACTTCTTGCTTTTTCTTAGCGTTTAGGGTTTTCATTTGGCCTTCTTTTCTATCCTTTACTGCTTGCTGAGCTTGATCCTTGGGCAAATTCTGCCCTTTGATATTATAATTCCTGTTCTAGAAAGTGCGTATCTCTTTGGTATTATTATCCACTGTAAGTTCTTTTTGTTGTTGTCAGATGCCACAGAGTTGGCTGTGACCCACTGTGACCCTAAGCACAACAGAAGGCAACACTGCAAGATCCTGTGCCAGCCTCACACGTTTGCTATTCCTGAGCCCATTGATGCACCCACTGTGTCCATCCTCACTGAGAGTCTTCCTCTTTCTCACGGCCCTTCCACTTTACCGAACATCCAAACCCATGATTACCAAGCACGAAGGAAAGGTTGAAGTTGTGAAGGATTTTGTCTTGCTTGGATCCACAATCAATGCTGATGGAAGCAGCAAAGAGATCAAAAGATGTATTGCGTTGGGTAAATCTGCTGCACAAGACCTCTTTAGAGCATTAAAGAGCAAGGCTATTATTTTGAGGGCTAAGGTGCACCTGACCCAAACCATGGTACTTTCCACTGCATTATATGAGAGGGTACACACACACACACACACACACACACACACACACACCCCAAAAAGGGAAAAACTTCCCCTTGGCAGAGATTTCTTAGTATGTATTTTTCCCTTTTGGTGAGCCTTTAGCAACTCCCTCTGAGTTAGTGCACCCAGTGACGTTGCCTGGGAAGGTTCTCTCTAGTCACAGTGCATTTTTATGTAAAAGCAGTTTCCCTTAAACCTTGTTGTTGTTTTGTTTTGTTTTTTTGTGATGGCTGATTTAAGAGAAGAGCGAGCTGCTGTGAAATTTTGTTTCCTCTTGGGGAAAAATGCTGCAGAAACTGTTGTGATGTTGAACACAGCTTACGAGGACAGTGCTATGGGAAAAACTCAAGTGTATGAGTGGTTTTCTTGTTTCAAAAAGGTGTAATGTCAACATTGATGACAAACTTCCTTCAGCATCTGTCAACTTCCCGGGTGGATGAAAACGTCAACAAAACTCCTGCGCTTGTGCCCGAGGACTGATGATGGACCATTGTGCCCGAGGACTTATGATGGACCATTGTGCCCGAGGACTGATGATGGACCATTGAAGAGATGGGGTAGTTATCTGGATGACCTTGACGGAAGATTTGGGAATGAGAAGGGTCCCTGTGAAATTTGTGTCTCAGGTTCTGACTGACCAGGAAAAAGAGTATCGTCTGGAAACAGGCCGTGCTTTGAAATAACAGCTCCAAAGTGACCCAGACTTTCCCCACCCCCCACGGTCATTGCTGGTGACAAGACATGGTTCTCTTCTTAGGACCCTGAAAGCAAACATCAATCAAGCCAGTGGAAATCACCTTGCCCACAAAAAGTTCGTCAAGTAAAATTAAAGATCAAGACGGCGATCATTTGTTTTTGTGATGTGAGGGGGATAGTGCATTTGGAGTTCATTCCACCAGGTCAGACTGTTAATCAAGCTTTCTATTTAGAGGTTCTGAGACGATAACGTAAAAGTGTGAGACAAAAAAGGGACTGGTTTGTGGCAGATGGGAGACTGGTTTTGCCACCACGACAATGCACTTGCTCATGCAACCATCTCAGTGCGCCAGTTTTTGGCAAAAAACAGTGTACCTCTCGTGCCCCATGCACCTGCCTCACTTGACCTTGCTCAATGTGACTTCTTTTTGTTCCCTCAAATAAAGAGGGACATGAAAGGACAGCAATTTGATGATGTAGGAGAGGTGAAAAACAAAACAAAACAGAACAGGGGAGGTGCTGTCAGCTATCTGAACAAATGAGTTTGAAATATACTTCCAGGAATGGAATCGCAGATGTGACAAATGGATTCAGTGTAATGGAGAGTACTTTAAAGGTGATAAGGTTGTTTTATTAAAAAAAGTTAAATACATAGCTTTGAAAAAAATGTCAATTTTGGGGGCTATCCCCTCATATGCATATGAAAGTTGGACATTGGCTAAGAAAGACTAGAAAAATGGATGTATTTGAATTGTGGTGCTGAAGAGGAATAGTGAAAGTACCACGGACTGCTAAAAGGACAAACTGATCTGTATTGCAAGAAGACCAGTGTGCTCCTGAGAGGCAAGAATGGCAAGACTTTATCTTACTTACTTGGGCCATATTTCAGGCCCTGGAGTATGGCATCCACCCTATAGGCTTGGCTATTGTTTAGCTGAGAAGTTGGGCCAGGAGTAAGTTCAATTCGAGGCATTATGGAAGGATCATATTCCTAGGGCTCCAACTCTCTTATCAGACCACTAGCCATGGGTTTTTGTTTTGCTTATTTTAGTCTCATTTCATCATTTTCTCTCCCTCCATCCAGCATCTCCTACTGTGATCCTTCAGAGCAGCCGTCACTTCTTTGAGTCCCAGGGTTATGGAGGCCGAGGTTCATGTGGTACTTGAGTTTTTTCCTGAGGCTATTTGTTCCATTATCACAGGACTGGGAATAGAATAGTATTTATCTTTATTGTTTGTAATAAATTCTGTGTTACTCCCAGTGTCTTCCTTTGCGCTGTTGCCCTCTTGTCTATTGTTTTTCTTTTGGTCTAAGTTAATATGTGTCTGCACACTCATTAGTGATTGATTTTCCTTCTCCTCCCAGTCCTGGTAACCGTCAAAGAAGCTTTCATTCTTTCAGTAAACTTTTCTTGACATTTTATAGAACTGGTCTAATGCAAGAGTTATCCTTCTGAGATTGACTAATTTCATGCAGCATAATGTTCTCCAGGCTCATTCATTTTACGAGACATTTCACAGAGTCATCATTATTATTTGATGTTGTATAGTATTCCATGAGTGCATGTAACATTATTTCCACCCTTTGGGAATAGTTCTGCTATGAGCATATGTGTGCATACATCTAATTCCATAGCAAGAAACCCTAGTAGTGGGATTGCTGGATCCTATAGTATTTTTGTATCTAAATTATAAGAGTGTCATACTGTTTTCCACACTCATTGTACCATTTTATATTCCAGCCAGCAGTGTATTAAACCTTTGATCTCTCCTCACCCTGCCAACATTTGTTATCTGACTTTTTGTTTTTAAACTTTGCTATTAATGCTGAGATGAGATGATATCTCATGGTTGTTTTGATTTGCACTTTTCTAATAACTAATGATCACAAGAATTTATACATGTGCTTGTTGGCAGTCTAAATGTCTTCTTTGGTGAAGTGTACTCTGCCCATTTTTTAATGGAATTGTTTGATGTTTTGCTGTTGAAGTGTCAAATTTTCCTATACATTTGAGTTCCTTGCCTGTTTTGTTGTGGCCGAGTTCCCCCCCTCTCCCCCCACCGCAGTGTTTATGTTCCCTTTTTGCTTTTTTTAGTGAGGTCTTTTATTTGGTTTTTAAGAGGTCCCAGCCCTCTAATTTCTCTTCTGCTGCTTGTGCATTTTCATTTACCATATATACTCGAGTATAAGCCGACCTGAATATCAGCCAAGGCACCTAATTTCACCATAAAAACTGCAATGCAAATGTGCTGAAAAGCTCAGCTTATACACGAGTGTATGCGGTATGTTTGGCAGTGTTCTTACGCCATGAAGTATCCCAGGGCCATCTGGTCTGTTCTGACTCATAGCGACCCCAAGGAGCAGAGTAAAACTCCCTAGAGTTGTTGAAGCTGAGAATCTTAATGGGAGCAGAAAGCCTACAATAGACAATATGGAGGCCACAAAGTAGGCGTCGATCAATTTTTAAAACATCAAAATACTGCAGAGCATCTTCTCAGACCACAAGACTACAAAATCAGAAATCAACAACCGAAAAATCAAGAAAAAATATGGAAACTGAATACTACCCTGTTGGAGAGTAGAAGACAAAAAAAAAATCCTTTGAATTAAGCAAGCATGGAAAGACAGCAGACCATATCCGTTGGGCCACAGCCAAAGCGGTGCCAAGAAGACAATGGATAGCACTGCATTTTGGCTTTGGGGGATTGTTTTCATATTCTTCAGCTTCAACTTGAACGTACACATGAGCAATGGATGGTCTCTTCTGCAGTCAGCCTCTGGCCTGATTTTAACCGCTGATTTTGAGCTTCTCCACCATCTCTTCCCACAAAAGAAGTCTATTTGATTTCTGTGGATTCCATCTGGGAAGTCCACATGTGTAGTCACCGTTTATGTTGTTGAGAAAAGGTAGTTGCTGTGAACAATTCATTGGTCTTGCAAAATTCGATCATGTGATCTTCACCTTCATTTATATCACCAAGACCATATTTTCGAACTACTGTTCTGTCCTCTTTATTTCCAATTCTAATTGCCCAGAATTATGAATGCATCTTGATTACATGTTTGATCAATTCCCAACTAAAGATGTTTGTAGAATTCTTCAATTTCCTCATCACTAGCTTCTGTGGTTGGTGCATAAGTTTGGATAATACTTGTATTGAGTGAATTTCCTTGAAGGTGAATAGGTATAATCCTATCACAGACACTATTGTACTTTAAGATTGATTTTGGAATATCCTTTTTGACAATGAATGCAACGCCATTTCTCTTGAATGTGCCGTTCTCAGCATAGCAAACCATATGGTTTTCTGATGAGAAACGGCCAATACTCATTCACTTCAGCTCATCATAACCTAGGATAGAAATTTTACGAGTTCCATTTCATTTTTGATATGTTCTAATTTTCCTAGATTCATACTTTGTTCATTCCAAGTTCTGACTATTAGATTTTTGCAGTTGTTTCTTCTTGAGTTATGACCCATCAGCTAATGTAGCTCTAAAAGCCCCACTCCAATGGGCTTCACTCCACTCATCTCTGTACGGTTGACTCAACTTTGAGAAAACAGCTGCCCCTTGGTCACATTTCAAGTGCCTTCCAACCCAAGGGGCCTGTCAGACAATGTTCTGTTTTCATTCCTTAGGCCTTTAATATCTGACAGTGTTTGGAAGCTGCTATGCAGATGGCTTTCGATGGCTACTTCTTCTGATGTGGGCAGCTAGTTTTTCTTCATCAGCTGTTCTTAGTCTAGAAGTTCCACTGAAACCTGTTCACTTTGGATGATCATGCTGGCATTTGAAATGTCAGTGACAGAGCTCACAGCATCACAGCAACACACAAGCCATGGCAGGACGACAGACTGATAGACTGATAGACAAGTGGTGGATCTGACTCACTGTGACCCTGTAAGGCAGGGTAGAACTATCCTTGTGGATTCAAACTGGCAACCATACAGTTAGTAGAGCACCATGGAATCCACTACAACACCAGGGCTCCTTGTGTATGGCATAGACCCCTAATAACATTACTTTTTGACTTATCCACATATTGAGCAGTGAAGGGTCATTTAGCTTTAGAGAGAGAGGGTGAGTTGGAGTAAAGATGGGAATTTGTTCACAACTGTCAAATCTTGATATTGACCATGGATGGGCTTTTTTATCCATCTTTCTACTTTTCAGGATTTAAATATATATAAATGAATACATATATAATTTATATAAAATAACTATTATATATAACTAATATCTATTATATATAACTATACATACTAATATATATAACTATATATAATTAGTACATATATGTAATAAACACATAGATAAAATATATAACGAATACACATGTAAATTATATATTAATTGCACATGTAATCAATATAAATAACACATATACATTATAACTAATATATAAACATATATTAGTTACATATATTACAAATACATATATATTACTTATAGTTCTTTAGTGAGTTTAGCATATATATATTTATATGCACATCAAACTCACTATTTAAATCCTGAAAAGTAGAGAGATTCGTAGAAAAAACTATTTACATATATATGGTTATAGTTATTTATACAAATATATAGTTATAGTTAGATATATACACATGCATATATATGTATATAGTTTATAGATCTAGTCACATAAGTATATAATATATGCTTATATATACACATAAATTTATACAGTTGTATTTATATATGGTTATACCTTCATATTGCATATTTATATTGTTATACATTCATATGTTATAAGTTATAATACATATAAGTTAGAGGGATGAGCAATATAAATGTGTCCTTCAATAGGGGAACAAGACTATTAAAACGGAACTGTTTCAGGAGCTATTACAGAGAATCGAAAAGGTGATATGAACTCTGTTGGCTACTACACAAATGCTGTTCTCTATGCTTAAACAGGGTAAGGACTCCACATGGCTCCCTAAGGCAGCCCCAGATGCACTCCACAGCAATAAACAGCAAAACTCTTTGTCCAAATGTACACAGTCATTCCCTCAACAGACTACAAATATACTGACAATCATTAATCTGGCTGCTTACACAACCTTGACAAGAGATCATCAGAAGAATTCTGTCAGTTTTTATCTTATTATTCCTGTACCACTGCTTAAAACAACGCCCGTAAAATGCCCCCATTGTATTTGGTGTTTAATGTATTTGGTGTTTAACTGTAATACAGTTTTCGCATTCAAAAATCCATTTCATCTTTCCTATTATGTGTCTTCCCCTTTTTCTCTCCCGATGCTATACTTGCCCAGGATAAATAAGAATAGCCCTGTGAGAGTCCACTGGATTAATTATTTGGGGACAAACTAGTTGTATTAAATTTACTTTACTTTTTCATGAGCTGTCATAGAAGGCTTCTTAATGCCACCTTTTGCAGTATTCTTATTCTATGATCTATCTCATACTGTGGTATTTGCAGAATATTATACTCACAACCCCAGCACGGTTACTAGAAACAAGAATCTGTTAACAACAACAACAAAGAACAGAATACCGCATTCACTAAATATAGAAAAATAAATATCGTGAACCATACCAACAAGGTCTCTGTCTTCTTTCTCCACTTTTTAAGGAAATTCTTGCACAGGAGGGCCTGAGTCTGCTGAAACACACTTATCTCTTTCTTAACCATTTTGTCTTCTTCTTTGAAAGAGAATAGAATGTAAATGCTGTAGTGAAATAACTAGAGAAAGAAGATTAAAAAAATCTAGTTTAAAAAGTCTTTGAAATTGCCTCAAGATGTTGTTTTTCCACCTACTAATTTAAAATCTTACATGACATTATAGTTGATATTCAATAGGATCCTTTCAAAGAAGACAAACTTTTTTCTTTCTTTAAATCATTCTCTTGGGGGCTCGTACAATTCTTATCACAATCCATACATACATCCATTGTGTCAAGCAGACAAACTTTTAATGAATATAAACTATCCTATTGCCTGGCTGGTATGACTGAGTTACCACAACCTAAAGTAAGTCAATCTCAACATTAGAACCCCCTGAGTGAATCAAAATGTTCATACTGTTTATAATCCACAAAACACTCAGGTTTACTTAGTTTAAAGACAAACACAAGGTGTTACTAGAATAAAACATTTCCATGCCCCTACTTTGAATGGCACACTTATTTAATACCTAGGAAACTACTGAGCAAAGGATCCCTAGGGATAGAACTGTAACCACAAGGTCAGCAGTTTGAACCCACCAGCTACTCCATGGGAGAAAGTTGAGGCTGCCTTCTCTGATGAAGATTTGCCATCTCAGAAACATGAAGGAGAAGTTCTGCTGGCCTATATAGGGCCCCTTTGCATCCACATCAACTGGACAGTAGAGGATTTTTGTGTTTTTACTCTTTTTTTTTTGATTGGGGAGAAGTGTTAACTAAAGCAGAGGGGAATAACATAATCATTCTTAGCTACTTCCTCTTCTTTAACTTTGTCAACCCTCTTTCATAGAGTAGCTATTAAGATGCATACCAGAAAAAGCCAAGTTAACTAGAGTAACTGATGTCTAGATCATCTTGTGTCAGAGTGATTCTTCTCCCTTGTTTGTGAAGAGAAATTGCAGAGGAAGCCAATTAGCACCTCCACTTTGGCTACTTTAATTCAACCCAGCAAATGCTATTGGAATACACACATTTTCATGTTCAGAAAACGTTCTGTATTTTCTACATCACACCTGCTCCGTCATTTTACAAAAGGAAAGGTAAAACTACCAAATACCAGAATGATTTCTAAATTCTAACTTGATAAAGTTGGATGTGACAGTTGTATGATGGAATCAACGTTTGTTTGAATAGCTCAGTAGGTATAGACATTTCTAATGAAAAATCAACCACGAGGAAAAGATCACATCCTAAAATCCCCAAGGATCAAAAGCTTGCAAACTATCAAAAAACATTCAGAGATGTGTCAGTTTGACAACACATTGAAAATATTTGCCCACTTTCTAAAGCCCTCTTTTCATTTAAGCTATGCATTAAAATACTATATAGCAGTATTAAGACAACCGAGTTACAAAAATTAAATCACCCATTCGGTCTCTAATATAAAATACTGGATAACTGAGAAATGTCTGACTAATACAACAAATGAATGTCAATCAAGATTTATGTCCTAAAGATCTCACACAAAATGAAAAGTGAAAAGTCCTTTACTTACCGTCAGGAAGATCAGAAAAGGAAACTGGATTCCCTGGTTGCTTTCTATCCAGGACAACAGCTAATAATCGCTCAAGGACTGCTTTGCAAATGTTTGCCTCTTTTAGAACTCTCTTTATTCAGTTTGGCTTCTGAAAACAGGCCATGGTCTCTGGGCAGAAAATCTTCCAAGCATATTTTTTGCTTGATAAGTTGTTTTGCTTTTCATGCCTCTTCTCCTTGTCCAGCTTCCCCTGCAGGGAGTGGGTAGCTGAGCATGTCACGTGGACTTGTTTATTGGTGGATTTGTTTATTGGCTCTATCATTTTGGCACACACAGAAAAGGGACTGGATTTAAAATAGGAAAGAAAAGAATCTCTTCTGGACAACTCTCGACGAGCTATACTGATTTGTCATTTGGGTGAAAGTTTAGATGGCTTTTTGCTTTCTGATCCAACAATTTAAACACATTGCATTCTGTGACATTAGCTGTAACAAAGCTCCTTCTCACCCTCCCTGGGGTCCCTGCTCTCCTTTACCCTGCTGCCTTGCCCCTTCTCGCCTTCAGAGCTTTGTGTTTGGGCAAATGCTGCCCTACGGGTTTGTTGTGAGGCGCTACTGAATGAGTACGGCCTCGGTGACCCGATGTACAACAGAATGAAATGCTTGTTGCCTGGTCTTGTTCATTCTCACCATTGTTGCTATGTTTGAGCCCATGAGGGCAGCCGATGTGTCAACCCATTTCCTGGAGCGTCTTCCGCTTTCTTGCACATTCCTCCAATTCTTTCAAGCATGATGTCCTCTTCCAAGGAATGGTCTCTTCTGATAACATGTTCAAACTACATGAAGCTAAGTCTCAAAAGACTGTCTTTTTAAGGAGCATTCTGGTTGTACTTCTTCCAAGACACATGTGTTTGTTCTAGCCGGACATGCTACTCTCCATACTGGGTCTAGTGTATTTGATTGCATTGAAGGGGGAGTGTCTGGCTGATGTTCTTATTAACTTTATCGATCTGTCTATTGTTTGGTTGAAAGCTGATGCCCGAGAGTGGGTTCGGTTTTAGATGTGAAGGGTACCTAAAGTCCACAGTCTTGGGGGTTCCACTAGTACGTCTGGTCATTGCATACTTTAAAAATTTGCTTTCCTTTTTTTCCTCCATCTCTCTGCAGGAGTCCCATTGTGACCCTGATCCGATCAGCTGATACTGGCAGCCGGGTTTCATCTAGCTGTTCTGCTCTTCTGTTACACAAGACTTTGGCTCACGGGGCTCATTAGTCCTTTTAGTTTCTCTGAGTCTGTTTTTTCCCCCATTCTTCTTTGCATCACACAAGGAGAAATCAAGAGTTGCCTCAAACAGTAGTTGCCTCTTATATGACCCCTCCTAAGCTTTCAATATCCTTTAAACTGGGCAGACCCACTCCGACTAGCAATTACCAGGTTCTCCCAAACAGGTTCGGGACCAACCAAGAGTCCCATCCTTCTCTCAACAGCACACGTGTTTCTCCCCCTCAGCAGCTGCAACCCTTCTGGGCAGAGTTTAAACCCCAACGAAACAGACACAGCTTTTCTTTTTCTTTAAAAATAAGTTAATTGGAGATAATAGACGATTTACATTTAAGGAAAGACTGCAGGGGAAAAAGTGAGTCTGGCTCTCGGAATTTTGAGCAAGGAGTCTGCCTTGGGTGTGCCAATGGTAGTAAGGCATCTATTTTAGAGCTGAACATTAATGGGACTTGTGAGCAAGCTGGTATGCTTGCTAGATGACCACCTTGGTCCACTGATTGAGTGGAAGTGGGGGGAATGAAGAGACGGGCTGAGTTTGGACCTGTTCCATTGGCAACCATTGACCTTGTCTACAGAGGCTGACGATGAGAGAGAAGAGGAAGAGTTGGCTGGTTTGAAATTGAGGGTTGATCAAATCTTGAGCCTGTGGGCATGACTTATCTCCAAGAAACTAGGGCTGATGAGACTATGTGAAGGGGCCTCCTGGTCTGAAGTACAGGGAGGTGTGTTTGAACTCCCAAGCATGTTCTTGGTATCCATTTGACCTGGCAGGTGGCTATGGCTGAATTGAGCAGGATCCACTAGACGGAAAAAAGAGATGCTGATTGTGAGCCAGTGTTCCTTGTTGCGGTCTTCATGTATTGCTGGTTCTAGATGAGATTGTCTAAGTCGCCAACACCACAAAGCCATAGGCGTCAGACTATTCTGATTACTACTTTGATTCTGCTATCCGCTATGGTAACCATGCCTACCTTGTCTCTGTCAATTAAGGGCTGACACTTAGCTTCAAGCAGCATGGAGCCAATTAGCCTCATTAAAGTTATGAGTCTTAATTCAATTAGGACATTTCTCACTGTCAACCCTAGTTTCCATGAAGTAGCAATCACAGCTAAATTCAAAGACATCCACATTTCCTGCTCCATTCTTCTGACTCTTGTAACATCTCATGATTCCATGAGTGCGGAGCCACTTCATTGGATCTTGCTCCAGATGCCAAATGAGTAAAAGGCATGGCAGCCAGATCTGATCTCAGGCTACACACGGGAGAAGGAGAATCCAACTCCACCTGAATCCAAGGCCTGTCCTCATAAGGCACAGGACACATGCCTTTGTCCTCTATGCTTATTATTGGTTACTCGAGGTTGCCCTTCTGGGCTCCAAATGTGCTAGGCTGGGTGTTCTAGAGTTATAAAACATACTGGAGGCTTCCAACCTTGATCTTCAGCAGCAAGTGCTTCATGTCCTCCTCACACTCAGCAAGTAAGGTTGTGTCATCTGCATTTTGCAGTTGGTTATAACCCTTCCTCCAAACCTGAACTTCTTCACATAACCCAGCTTCTCTGGTTATTTGTTCAGGATGCATCATCAGGAAAGCTCCGCTGTTGGAAAAGTCCACCATGTGTAACCAGGTAAAGGGTCAGTGTAAACAAGGGAAACCACATTTGAGACAATTGGACCAATAGTGGCAACAATGGGCTCAAACATACTAAGGGTCACAGATGTCATTATGGAGGAGGTCTGGGCAATAGTTTGTTCTGTCACAATAACACCCATGCCTTGGAACCATCTCTATGACAACAATGTGAGGAATCAGAATAATTCATGTAGGTGAGCTTCACCTTACATTTAACTGAACTTTTGTTACTATTGACTGATGTTTTAGACATAAGACAGTATATTGAGTTTAATGTGCTACCTTATGTAATACCAAAACGTAACCCTGAAGTTAATATTATATTTATAATATACCCATTTTACAAATATTAAGCCTGCGGCTTACAGGTAGACTGATTTGCAGCTGTTTAAATAGGTCAACACCAACACAGGATTATAGACGGGTGTTCTTCCAAAGCTCTACTCTTAGCAGCCATTATGGAAATCAAATTAATCAAAAGAGTGATATCTAATGCCCAATGTAATAGTTTAATTATTTTGCACAACTTTCCTCTAGTTCTTTAATGCTTCACACACACACACACACACACACACACACACACACACACACACACACACAGACTCACACACACACACACACACACACACACACACACACACACTATATCATGAACCCCATTCTACCTTGCAAATAAGGCTAGACCAGAACATGTACACGGGTACAGATAAGAGCTCACAACACAGAGAATCCAGGACAGATAAACCCCTCAGGACCAATAATGAAAGTAACAATACCAGGAGAGTAAGGGAAAGATGGGGGCAGAAAGGGGAAACCGATTACAATGATCTACATATAACCCCCTCCAAGCGGGATGGCAACAGATAAATGGGTGAAGGGAGACAGCAGTCAGTGTAAGACGTGAAAAAAAAAAGATAAATTATCAAGGGTTCATGGACTGGGAATGAGCTGATATCAAGAGCTCAAGTAGAAAGAAAATGTTTTGAAAATGATGATGGCAACCTATGTACAAATGTGCTTGACACAATGGATGCCATAGGTGGGGTACAAGCCCTCAATAAAAGGATTTTTTAAAATAATAAGAATTTAGATGACTGTTTTTATTTTTTCCCATCTACAACTAAATCAGACATTCTCAGATCTGTAAATAAAAACCAGTGTCAACCCCACAAAGCTCATTATTTGATTTTCACAATCAATGTACTCCTTAGGAGGCACACAGAAGTTCATAACTGTCATGGAAGTGAAGGACAGACAGATGAGATGCGAGGTAGTGTGAGGCTATTTAAAAATCAGTTCATTAAAAATCTGGAAAGGAACATTTCCTTTGAGATAATTAAATTTTTATTCTCTCCCTGGTTTTCAGCTCTATTTCTCGTTTTGTTTAGTCAAGGCCGTTACTAAAAGTAAAAGTTCATGAACTGGAAACCATCAAATATTTAACTTGGTTTCAATCCCAGACATGAACAGTCATATTTATCTTATTAAGTAGGGGAAAACAACTAACATAATACTACATTCAGACAGTATACTTTTTCCAATAAGTAAATTTAAAGATAATTTCTGGACTTCATCATATTAACGATTTCATATGCCAGTATAGTTCAGGGAAACACTTACAGGTTTAGGAGTCCAAGACTCTCATTCCAAACTTGTCACCCTTGGCTGTGCCCCTTAAAATCCTCAGGTCTCTGCTCCAATTTATACTTGGGTTTGGACCTCTTCCATTCTAGCACATTGTACTTTGATGATGGCACTGTTTTGCTGTAGGGTCCAGTCCTACACTTACGTTCACACACCTCTTCTAAGTCTTCCTTACTCTCCATTGCTTTTCCTATTCTGCACTTAACAAAACCAATTTTATTTACCTAGATCCCTCCCTCTCCCGCACTCATCCAAATTTCTTTTTAATCATCAAAGTCTGCTCCTTTTGATATGAAAATCAGGTTTCTTGGTTTTCTCCTTCTATAATCTTGGGTTCCTAGAGTATTTGTCATTATAGGATGAACTAATTTAGAGCAGCATAATATCTTCCAAATTCCTCCAGGTCATGTGAGGGTTGACAGTTTCCTCATTATTCTTCAGCAATGTATAATGGTGTAATGGTCCCTCGTATGCATGTACCAGCATTTATTTACCCATTCCTCCACCAATGGGCTTGTAAGTTGTTTCAGTTGTCTTGCTATTGTGAATAGTGCTGTGATCCACATGGGTGTACATATATCTGCTTGGGTCTTGCTCTGTATTTTCATTCGGGTGTATACCATGCACAGAGATCGCTGTGTCCTATGGAATTTCTATTTGTTCAGG